TGGAATTCCCATGGTGGAGTTGGAAAGGTGCCAGTGCTTCATCCTGAGGGGCGGGGGACCTGGTGAACCAGGTAAGCCACTGTTAAATACCAGGGTGATACGCACAGCTGCCAGGGGGGGCTGCCCGGCTGTCTGTAGCCCATGTTGGGGAAGGGCAGAACGTTGGCATTTACATTGACTAGCCCCATGACCTGTTTCACTATATTCTTTCAGTTCTGCTTCAGAGGGGTTTATGTAAGGGTCCAGTGGGCCCGTGATTTCCTTTTGGAGTCAGCCATGGTTTCCTGAATACGTTACATGACGGTGGCCATTGACATGCAGAACTATATCCGGTGAAAATAACCCCACCTCTGTTCACTTGAATTTGGAGAATTTATCTTGTTCCAGATTAGGAGTTTTCATGGTTAAAAAAGACTTCTTTTCCTCCCATATTCATCCCATGGGAGGATAACTAGAATATGGCCTGAGAGGTGCAGACTGACTGGCTTGGGGTGAGGGCACGTCTCTAAAATTAGCTCTGAGAGCACAGAGTATAGGGGTGATAGACATGCTTTAGCACCAATCTCGGGAAAACTTGGCAACTCTAGCTGGAAGCCTGGTCATTCTTTCTGTTGCTTCCACTCCCCAACCAAGCCCTGCTATGCTCATTTCCTTGGTCGGGGATTTCCTTTTAACTGTTAAAGTTGCTACTTACTTTCCTTTAATTCAGAGGTTGCAAACTGGTGGCTCACAGTTGTATTTTATTGAGCCCAGTGTTTAAAAAAGTTATCTGTACACATGAACTGTGAGGGTTTACATAAAATTTGGTTTCTGGCTTCTCTTTTAAAAATCATAATGAAGATCTAATAAAGTTAGTGCATGGTACGAATCAGGTAGAGCTCAGTAGATTGGAAAATGTGCCTCTAAGGTCACCAGAAGTCCCTAACTGTCAGCTGCCATTTGTCCCTTTTTTCTTTAACAGTAGGGAAATCGGTCTCTTACCCGCTGCTGTATCGGAAGTGGTAATACAAGTGATGGGCCAGAAGGGCAAGGTGCCCATTTACTTAGGTAACCTATTGGCCAGACACTTGAGCTTACAACCCTATTTTAACCCATTTTCTTCCTTATACCCAGTTCATTACATTTCCTCCCAAATCCCTAATTGCTTTGCAGACACTGCAGTTACCATCACCGCCCACTTTCAAGGTGACCATGTGCTGTTCAGGTATGACTTGTGTAACCATCATCATGATCTAGTGGGGAATCAGTCTCTGATCCTGGCATCAGAGGAGAACCAGGTGGGTCACCTTGGTGGTGGGGGCCTTGCCCAGCCCGACTGCCAGCACCTGGCCTCACCTAGATGCTCAGGTCATGCATCCTAAAAAATTGCTAAGAGCAATTCTACAGTCTGGAGTCATAGTAGAACTACTGTAGAAGTGTGTTTGCTTTCTTTCTCCACTGATCCCTATGAACCACTCTTCTAGTGACACTCAGGTTAACCTTACAGGACAGTTTGAGAAACCGTACTGCTTTCTTATCTGTTGCCCCAGTGAACTGAAACCTTCAGAGCCAGGTTAAATGTGGATGTGACTCTGTTCACAAACTCTGGGTGTGACTCCAGATACTTGAGGGGAAATGAGGATGAGGACCCCTCCCCTGCCCAGATCTCTGCGTGTGCTGTGCAGAGCCAGGCTCTGCCCCTGCACTCACATCCCCAGGGAGCTATGACCAAGCCATCCCCCAGACCTCCCCTTCCTCCTTTGGGAAGAACCGACCTCCTCTGCCACTTCATGAAGACCAGAGAGTTCCAAGGGCAGGTGTCCTACATGTGCTGCCTCTGAGAGCCATCGGGGGGTTGTGGCCAGTGTGTAGGCAGCCCAGAAACCCTCAAACCCTGGGAATCTGCATGTCAGCAGCCCTGGGCTCATCCTTAGTGCAGAAAAAGAGATCAACAAGGCAGAACCTGAGTGAATCAATGTCATGTTCACATGGAAGACAACAGACAATATCCAACATGTTCTAGAATAATTCTAGGGAAAGGGCAGGTGTGGCTCCCTCACGGGCCTGTTCTAAACCAGTCTCTCTAAAAGAGTGATCCAGATAAGACTACAGAGACCCCTAAACAAAGTGTCACTACCACACAGCATCTGAAAATCAAAACGGGACACGAGATATTGACTTTAACATATAAAAATACTATAACAAAATGAAATACAAATATATATTAGAATCTGTTAAGTATTCTGTATAAAGAGATACTTTCGTGGTTAGGCTAACAGCAGGCAAAGAGGAGACGAGTCCGGCCTATTCCTGACACCTTCCCAGGGAGCCCCGGCCACCATCGCCAGCAGTGCTACCACAGCAGCAGCAACCTCAGGACTTGCCCCGCTTGTGTCCCTTCGGTGCATGTTGAATGGAGACAGCCGGTGGTGACACCAAAGTGAACGAAGGTCTTTATCAGAGGGGTGACAAGGTGTGGAGGTGATTAATTGGAGCTTGTTTCACCAGAGCCTTCTCCTGGGCCTAAATGTGGACAGACGCGATGAGCGGTGGTCCAGTTCCTTAGCAACTTGCAGGTTGGTGGTTGAGGAAACGTTGATCCTGGGACACACCACGTGGCTCCTTGCTGCCCTTACTCTTGTGGTGGATCCCAATCTTGCAGCTCCACTGAGGGTGCATGCGGGGCCAGGCTGACATGCGGGGTGTTGTGGAGGGCCGGGTAGGGGCGGCACCCAGCTCACAGGGTACCCCCTGCAAACGCACACCCCGTACTCTGCCCTCCCAACCCCACGGGAGCGGGAGAGCAGGACTTCTGGCAGCCATCACCCATCTGCAGATGAAGAGGCTGCTGCTGGTTAGTGCCCCTCAAGCTCAGGAAGCCACTTCTACTCCAGGGCAGTGGCGGAATGGTGGTGGCCACGGGAAGGTAAGTGTCTCGGGGTCAGTTGGCCCAAACACCTCTCTTCCGTGGAAGGGGTAAGTGCCAGCTGCACTTGAACTTTCCTCCATATTATCAGTACCTGCCTAGCGCTAGAGCTGCTCTCCAGGGTCTCACGTGGTCCAGAAACTGTAGGTAAGAGAGGGATGCCGTGCAGCCCTAGGAGAAGGCCCTCAAGGCTGCTGTCCACGGAGAAGGGCACCGTGGCCCTGCTCAGAACCACAAGAAAATAGAGCCAGGTCCCTGGTGAGCAGCAGATCCAGCCATGAAAATGCCTCTGCAGTTGGGCAGGGCAGGATCCTCTTCCCATTACAGGGCTTCCAGGGCTCCAACTCGCTGGCCAGAGTCCTGGTGTAGTAGAGCGTGCCAGGCTTCCCCAGTTGTCGGAGGCTCCAGCCCTCTACCGCTCAGCACCAGGAGCTCCTCCCACCGCCCATGGTGGCTGAGGACACAGGTGCACTACCACCTCAGCCCCACCCAGCAGGCTCCCCCAGCCCTGTCTTCTGTTTGCAGGTGGAAGGAGCCAGGAAAGGGACATGCTTGCTCCTCTTGCCCACTGGCGTCCCCTGGGGGCACACTCTCTTGGGGAGACATCTGGACAGGAGAGTGTGACCTATCTTCTAGCCAGCTTGCTATTTAAGCTCAAAGATAATCTGTGTTTTCATTGTGCATGGAAGAGAAGCATGGAAGCATGGAAGTTGTAGTCACATGGCCCATATTCAGTGACTCTTCAAACACAGAGTCCTTCCTTGCAAACGCCTGGGGTAAGCAGCCCTAGCCTGGGCCACTGTCTAGTGGTCGGAGCCCTCGCTCGGCTCAACTCTTCCCAGGCATCCCGGTCATTCCTGTGATGCTCTACGATTAGTTCATATCTGTCCATGAGAGCAGAACACCCACAGTGCCAGCCCAGTTAGGCACATAAATACTTGATGTGATTCATGAACATGCATCTTCTACCTCCTCTAGCCTCCCTTCCGGAGCCACAGTGGGAAGGTCTACATTGCTCATATGTATGTTCAGTCAAACCACCTCCCCATGGGACAGCTAGGAGACAGAGGACCATAGATGGGGAAGACGTTTGCCCAGAGTGACAGGCAGCAAAGGTTTCCTGGTGCCTGTACCACTGCTCCCTACTGGCCTGCACGGTGAGGGGGTCTGGACCCAGTCTCCGTGGGAGGGGAAGCCTCCCTGGCTAAGCAGCCTAGACCACACCCCCTTGCCCCTGCCAATGGCTTGACAGCATCCTGTGGCTGGCTAGGGGCTAGGAAGGCCTAGGACCAATGCCCCTTTGGTGGTGTCTGGAGGTGGTGGTTATTCTGCTGGAACCAAGAACCTTCCCAGCGCCTGTCCTCTTTGGTGGGACTGCCACTCCAAACAGACCCAGTGGACGTTTTTGAAGCTACAATGGTCAACTCGTAACTTCAGGATTCAGGGGTCTGGTCCTAAGGGACCCTCCTCTAGCCGCAGCCTCACTCCCCATTGAGCAGTGGCTTTAGTGCTACATCAGCCCAGGAGGCAAGGGTTAGTCCCTTCCCGGCCAGCAGGAGGGGGCCCTTCCCCTGCGCAGCCTGGCCTACTGCTGGCAGATGCTGCAGCAGCAGAAAAAGCAGAGATCCTGGCTGGCTGCCCCAGGGGAGGCTTCAAAGTTATCTGCAGGGGACAGGGGGCTTCTGAGGGCAGTGTGGGCCACCGGCGAGAGGGAAAGGCTGTTTTGGGAAGGGGCCAGTCCCTTCTTCAGACCCAGGTAGTAGGCAAGCAGGGGGGGTGGCGGGGAGGGTCATCATTCTGTGCACTTCTTGGCCTGACCTCAAGCACACATTCATTCAACAAATATTTATTAAGCGCCTGTTTGTGCAAGGCACTTCCGGAGAGGGCGGCCTAAAGCCCGGGCCACGCCCACCCACCCCACCCCCAGCTGCCGGCCTGGTCACCCCCCCCAAGAGATTGCTGTGGGGTGGGGCCAGAGGGCCCTGCCACTCAGGAACAGGCAGGATGGCCTGCACCCCCACCCCACTGCGGGCCACCCGGCTTCACTGCAGCCGTGCCCTCTCGCCTGCCTCACCCCTCCCCGTCTAGCCTGGCGCTACTCGCAGAGGGCACAGCCACACTTGGTGGGCTTCTCCACCTCCTCGGCAAAAGAGGTCCCGTCGCTGCACTCAAAGGTGAACTTCCTCCGCTTCAGCCGCAGGCCCTGGCAGCAGCCCTGACCTGGGCATGAGCCCCGGCACTCCACCCACGACAGCGGGCGCGTGGTCTGGCAGATGGCATAGCCCCTCTGGACCTGGTGAAAGTCCCGGACAGGGTCCCCCCGGCACTCGGACTCTGGATAGGACAGACACCAAGAGAAAGCCTCAGGGCACACCCATGGGCCAGCGCCGGCCCCCGGGAGGCCGGAGGCGGCAGAGAGGCGCATCCAAGGACCAGGTCCTCTAGCGCTTAGACTCCACCTCCGACCCCACCCGACATGCACATGCACAGGCTTCCTTCTGGGCCCATAGGCCAGTCAGTAGGAAGAACTTTCTAGCTGCCAGGGCCCTCCAGGACCGATTAGGCTGTCAGGTAAGTGGGCTCCCAGTTGCTGGAAGAGTGCAAGAGGAGGCTGGAGACTGGGGAGGCAAGAACAATAGAGAAGGAATCTGTGCCAGGAGCAGGGGCCTAAGGGCCCCTGAAGGTGCTTGAGTTCTGGACTTCTCCAGCTTCCCTCTGCCTAGCCTCAGCAGTCTCAATCCCAGCAGAAACATCTTGGTTACACGGGCCAGGGAGGGCCTGGGAAAGAGTCCCCAACCCTCACACTTCCTGTTGCTCTTGGGTCACAAGGTGATGGGGCCAAGATGTGGAGGTTTGTGCAGGAGCTGTTCCCCTGGGCAGCCCCTTCGGTAAGGAGAGACCCCAGCCAGAAGGGACACTTGCCCTGGATAAGGGGGCTTCAGGGCAAGCTGAACCATTTGGGGGTGGGGGTCAGAGCCTAGAGGGTAATGGGTACTACGGCCCAAGAGCAGCCCAAGATGTGGGAGAGGAGAGGGGAGGAGGCACAGAGGGGATGCCAGGGTTTGGAGGAGGAAAAGTCAAGTCACTAATGCAAGTTGTGGGGAGGGGCCCTGGAGAGGGCATGTCAGGAGGGGGGCCCCTGACCTTGCTCACACAGCTCGCCCGAAAAGCCTGGGTCACACACACAGTGTGCCCCTTTGGTGGCCAAGGCCTGGCAGTGGCCATGCAGGCACTGCAGGCCCCCGCAGGGGTCTACAGGTGCCCCAGCCTGGTTGCACAGAGCCCCCGAGTACCCATCCTGGCACTGGCAGCTGTAGGAGAGAGCGTCGAGGGGCATACATTCCCCGTGGACACACCTGGAGGGGACAGAGAAAAGGTACTGTGAGAATAGGCTGGAGCTAGTCCAATCCCAGGGAACCCACCCCCCCAGCTTTGGCATCCGGGGAGGTTATCCTATTCCTAAGACTGAAACAAAGGGAGAAAAATGTGATTCTGTATCCCTAGGGACCTCTTCCTGTTAATAAAAACTGAAAACTAGGGGAAAAAAATGGAAAAAAAACCCTGTGCTGGGCCACATGTTCCAGTTTGGGGTGTTAAAAGTACAGTCTATGCAGCAGCCCTCAGCATGGGGAAAGGGACGGGCAAGGGGTGAGGGCTCCCCGAACCCAGCTCAGGCTCACTTGTGGCCATGGCAGGGGCCGTCGGCTGGCTGGTCACAGTGTAGGCCCCCCCAGCCGGCCTCACAATGGCACACGGGCCCAGGGGTGGCATTGGGCTGGCAGATGCCATGCAGGCAGTAGAGCTTTCGGCAGGGCTCACAGCCTGGCACCACGCCTGGCTTCATCCGCGTCTTGGTGAAGTCCTGCAGTTCGTTGTTAATGTACAGGTTTCGGATGCAACCGTGGAAGCTGGTGCCGTTGAGGATCTGCCACAGGCGGAAGGCAGCTGAGTTCACATCCACTGGCATCCCTTGGGTGGGTAGGAGCGAGCAGAGTTGGGCTGAGTCAGGCTCAGACCATGTCTGACCCTACTGCCCTCGGTCCACTGGGCATCTCCACAGTGTTCCCTCCCACCCTCGGCCTCCGTCTTTCTGTCTTTGCAACCCTGAGCCAAGATCCTTTGCCACCTTGGAGGGGCCAGACTCCTTTCCCAGAAAACAAAAAAGGAAAGCCTGTTCCCTCAATGACCAGAACCCACAGGTGCCAGGCTTGGCAGTGGCCAGCTGACAAAGGAAGCTCTGGGTGCCTAAAGTCTGCCCTCACCCTTCCCGCCCTCTGGGATACCAGCTTTCACCTCCCAAAGACTCCAAAAGCAGCAGAGGACCTGGGCCTGGAACCAAGGTGTATGCTGCTTTGTCACCTGCTGTCGTGGTGATCACAGCAACCCTTGAGGGAGGAGTAGCTGAAACCCATCTTGTGGTCAGTGATTTGCCTGAAATTGTACGACTAACAAACAGCAGAGTTGGGAGTAGAGCCCAGGGCTCTCTCCTTCACACCTGCCTGCAGTCTCACCAAGGCCCTCTGTTGCAGAGACCTGACTTGTTCAGACCTGGAAATGTTGGCGGGTGGCAGACAGGGGCATTTAACCTGCAAAGCCTGTAAAGCCAGCTGGGAGGTCCCCAGCTGATGCGGAGACTCCTGCTGGGTGCCTGGGTCTCTCACAGCAGCTCCAAGACTGGGAATGGACCCTGAATGCTTGACAAGCCCCTTCTGGCCCAAAGACAAGAGGGAAAGTACCCACTTTGGAAGAGAGCTAGGAAAGTTCCAGGCTTCCCCCAAGGCCAGGCTAACCTAGGCATCTATCCTTCTTGGTCGGTCTGAGCTCGACAGCAGCCTGGGCTCCAGGCCAGGAAGGACAATCCCTTGGCAGCTTGGAATGCCCCTGTCATCCGGTGGCCTGGGCACCAGCTGTCTTGGCAAGACTCAGGCCAGAAAGCAACAGAGGCCCCACCTGGAATGGCTGTCACATTGCTTGATGGGGAGGCCTGGGGAGAGCCAGCCGCAGCCTCAACCTGGCCAGGTCCTTACCTCCCACGTAGAGGGGGGCCTCGCTGTTTAGTGTGTAGTGTTTGCCAAAGTTGTCCATGGTCATGGGACTGCCTCCATCGATGGAGAGATTCACCATCTGGTCAAAGGTGACTAGCTCAACAGTGTGGAACTGCCCGTCATTGATCGTCTCAGCACTAGAAGAAGAGGGGGTGCCCCCACCCCAGGGAATGGGCTTCAGTTCAGCCCATCCCTGCCTGGGTCCTTCCCCAAAAACGCCACTGGTCAGCAGCTGCTTTCCAGGGAGAGACCATGGGGACTCGGTGGCCTGGGGCCTGGCCCCTCCTGCTCTGCTTCTTGGGACTCCCCAGGGAAAGGTGAGCAGTTTGGGGCAGGGGTCTCCAAATTATCCCCCCTCCCCTTCCCACTACAGACCCCCTTGTGAGGGGGAGGTAGGATAGGGAAGGGTCGGTCCACTGCTCAGGCCTCGATCTCAGCCTCAGCTCCAAGATGGGCCCAAATACTGTATCTTCCTACATGGGCAGCCCAGGTTCTGGAGGTCCCGATAACCACCTGCTCTTGGCCTGGGACACCCTGAGGGAGGGCGGTGGGTATGAGGAAGCCTTACCTGTAGATGGCAGAGCTGGGGTAGCTGCCTGGGTCATAGCTGACACGCACATGACCCTGGTACAGCTCCACTGCAATGTGGTCATTGTCCCCATTGTACAGCAGGATCCCGTTGTCCTCTGCCGTGGAGACCTGATGGGCAAGGGCACTTTCTCTGCCACCCCACCCCACCCAGCAGTGGCACAGGTAGGTGGGACAGATGGGGGATCCACATTTGGAAGAGGGATGCTGTGCGTAGAGCTGCCCCCCCCCGGCTGCCCAGGGGACACATCCTCAAGGGGATGCTGACAGAGGCTGGCAGCCCCTGGTTCAAATCCCATCCACTGCCAGGCTGGCCAGGGCCACAGAGAGAAGGCAGACAGACCAGCTGAGGCCTGGAAACGACGTGTGAGAAGGGGCAGGTAAGAGACCTTAGGACTATGTGCCCGGAGAGGAAAGTCAGATCGATGCAGGGTAGCTTGTTCTATGGGCCTCTGGGAGCCACAGAGAGGACAAGGTGAAGAGGGCTCTCTAATAGCCATGACCACCCAAACCTGGAAGGAGCCACTCAGGAGGTAGCACCGGTCTCTGAATCTGTGTGAGCAAAAGCTGGAGTTGCCTTGGTTGGGGGAGCCCTCTGTGAAGCCGTAGAAACGATGATCCTGCCTTGTCCCTCTTCCCCCATTGCTTCCGGTAGACAGCCTGACTCCCTGGTCTCATACACAGGGCTGGCACACGGCCCAGGCCGGACACCTCATGGCACCCGTTTCGCTGGACTCAGTGACTGGTCCAGGGATGGGAATGGGACTGAAGACAGGCCAGTGACGGGGACAGCAGGAGGTGCCTGAGGCAGTGGCTGGGAGGGTGTGGTGAATTTTATTTTACTGAGCAGTTGGGCTGTGTTGTTGCAGTATAGACAGTGTACATGGGCAAGACTTAGGAGAGGTGATAAAGTGGGGGAGAGCACAGTGAGCACGTCGGGAGGCTGAAGGGCTCTGGGAGAAAAGAAGAGGGCAGAGAGGAGAAGTGGCTGCCAGGGTAGGGAATGCAGCTGTTGGAAGAGGGAGATGGCCAAAGAGGAGACGCAAACTTTTATCATGTGATGTGCACTGTCCTCTCCCTCCCCAAGAAACGTTTAGCAAACAGTGCCATTCAAGTGGGACCCGCTCTTTGCCCTCGAAACACTGATGTTCTGAGATGAAATTCAAGACGCAAAATGGCAAAATAAGGGCCCCAGGGACAGGTGGCCAAAGATACAAGCCCAGAGCCAACCCTGACTGTGTCCTAGCCACGTGGAGAAACCCGTGTGCAGCATTCGAGGCTGAAGCTCAGGAGTAGGCGAGACTGGATAGTGGGAGAGGACCCGGTCACCCAGGAGACCACTTCTGGCCCTGCCTTGAGACTGCTTCTGTGACCTGATAACATTTCCAGATGTGCCTGACCCACATCCCAAGCGTTTTGACTGACACAGGCTGCTCCCAGTTTTGGGCGAGGATGCCGCTTGATGCTCGGACCTGAGGCCACGGCCCCCTGCTGCCTGACTCCCCTCTGTGACTGGCGCCCTGGGCACGCACCTGCAGCGTGATGTTGGCCCGTGGCCAGTTCTGCAGATCGGTGAACTGCAGGTAGGTGTCCCGATCCACAAAGTTAACACTGAGCAACTTCTCACACTCGGGGCCGCCGAAACCTGGAAGGCACTGGCACACCGGCCCGCTGCCCTGGTCCACACAGTTGGCTCCATTCTGGCACTCAGTCCCCTCGCAGGGGCTTCTGGGGGCAGGTGGGCGGGGAGGGGTCTCACAGAACTGCCCACTGAGAGGGAAAAGATACAGGTCAAAGAAGGGGCAAGGCAACATCTTTCTCTCCCACAGTCCTGGAGAGAAATCACTAAACATCTTGGGAAACTGGACCCTTAAAGCAACAGAAGATGTTCCTAATGAACACTTTCCTCGAGAGAACAAGCCAGAAGGATACTGAAGACAAGGTAGGAAACAGGGGTGGTCCCTGGACCAGCATCATAGCTATCACCTGGGCATTTGTCAGAAATGGAAAACCTAAATCTGCTTAACAAGATCGTGTGCACATTAAAGTTTGAGAAGCACTCGTGGCTCGTGGCAGTCAAGTCTGCTAGCAAATTTTACTCTTGCCCATTTTACAGAAAAGAAAAAACAGACACGAGCAAAAGAGAGAAGACTCCAATTACTAAACAAATACAAGAGGGGACAGTACTTCCGGCAGGTAGTTCTGACACAGCATACATCCTGTAGCGTCAGCATTCACAACAGCCCAAAGCGGAAATAACCCAAATGCCTGTCAGCGGATGAATGGATAAACGAGTGTGGTCTACTCATGCAGCGGAATACTATTTGGCCACAAAAAGGAATGAAGTTCTAATACATGCTCCCACATGGATGAACCTCAAAGACATGACGCTAAGTGAAAGAAGCCAGTCACAAAGGACCACAGATTGTATGATTCCATTTATATGAAATCTTCAGGATAAGGAACTCTACAGACAGATATCAGATTCTTGGTTGCCTGGAGCTGAGATGGGGGGCGGTGGGGTGACAGATAAGAGGTATGGAGTTTCTTGTTGGAGTAATGAAAATGTTCTAAAATTGATTATGGTTAATGCATGCAAAATCCTGATAATAGAGTACAAGCCACTGAATTATATACTGAAGCTGGGTGAATTGTATCCCAATAAAACCATGGGGGAAAAAAAAAAAAGACCCAAGCAGAG